GTCAGATGTGGTTTTATCAATGAATTTGTGATCGTGACAAGAAATTCACAAGAGGATATATGCCATACCTGGAAAGATATAATTGATGTACAAATCCAAGATGTTGATGGCAACGATGTTGAGAAAGAAATGATTGAAACTGAAACTGGAAGATTTGTAGTGAAGTACAAAGCAGAGAAACCTTCACTGCACAAAGTTGTGGTGAGTATTGGAGAAAAACAAATAGCAAACTCACCACAGAACATTGAGACAATTGATGCTAAAGCAGAATTTAAACCCTTGAAGATAATTGATGTCAAAGATAGAATGTCCAATCCTATTGCACTTGATGTAAGTGACAGTGGCGACATTGCTGTGGTTAATAATGATTTTRWMAAKGATTTCCGTKTTGTGTTGTTCAATGCTGATGGAGAGTATTTGCGAGACATTGGTGGTGCAGGATCAGGAGATGGTCAGCTGAGTCATCCATATGGAGTCATCTTCAATGAGGAAAAAATAGTCATCACCGATAATCCAGATGATTGTGGCTGTATCAAGGTATTTGACATCGATGGTACCTACAAAAGAACTCTTATCAAACTACCTAAAAGAATGGTATTGAGAAGAATGTGTACAGCCAATCAAACCATCACGTGTTTGTGTTACAATACCAATACTAAAGAGACATTTATAAAGTGCTTTGATAAGCACAGTTATGATCACCTTCGTGACATCAAACTGGATGTTCCTGACGATGGTCATGGGTCACCTTTCTCATTAGTTTATGACAACAATAAGTACTTTGTATCGTTTTATGATGTGAACATTGTTTATGTTTTTGACGAGAATGGTGTTCTACTGTACATGTTTAGAATTAAAGGCGAGAAAGAAGGTCAGTTTGATGGTGCACGTGGACTTGCTGTGTTTGGTAGAGAAATGCTTCTTGTCTGTGATGTAAATAACCACCGCGTGCAAGTCTTCAGTCAAGACGGTCAGTTCATAAGGTTCTTTGGTAGTAAAGGTGCAGGTCTCGGTCAAATGAATGTTCCGTATGACGTTGCTGTTACACCAGATGGTCGAGTATTTGTGCTTGAATATTGGGGCAAACGAGTGCAGGTGTGGAGATGAGATCTGTTGACTGCCTTCATAGCGATGTACCCATGAAACACATACTAACTGTTACACACCAAATATGTACAATTGTAGTCATAGAGAACATGTCCTAAATCAGTTATCCTCCGTAGCAGCAGAACGTTTGTTTCTATTGTGTTTTAGAAGGACCAAAATCCCAGGTGAAACAAAATCTACAATCCAATTGACAGTATGAGAACCATATCATTATTGATTGAAAATTGCTGTAATTTAGAACCATTTTATTTTCTTTGAATTTTTCACTCAAAATCCTAGGTCATTAAAACCGCCGACCGGTTAGCTCAGTAGGTAGAGCATCGGACTTTAGTGCGGGAGGTCGCAGGTTCAAACCCCGGCCGGACCAACACTCAGGGTCTTAAAATAATTGAGGAGAAGTTGCTGCCTTTGTCTTTCTCCATCTGCAAATGGTAAGATCTTCTCGTCCTCTCGGATAACGACGTAAAATCGGAGGTCCCGTCTCTCTACACTTCACTCACTAACCTGTATTAGAGGGACGTTAAAGAACCCACACCACTGTTCGCATAAGAGTAGGGAATGATTCCCGGTGTGTGTGGCTAGGCCTTACTACTAACCCATACTAATTATTAACTCCTCATGATTGTAAGCCGCGTGGCTGCCAATTGCGCCTTAAACAGCGGTCCGTGTGAAATGATCTATACATGTGAAGCGCCTTTGAACTCAGAGGATATCGGCGCTATATAAATAACTCATATTATTATTATATTATTATACTCCGTCTAGAAAATCACAATTTACACAAACAGAAATTACAAAAGTTTGATGTTATAAAATAAAAGAATTTGAGTCAACTGTTTGAATCATCAATCGCACGTCCTGTGTCGCTATCATTGTGTTGKACCACAAGGGACTGGATRGACYWTAGTTAAATATTAACTATGGATGGACTAACAATTATTATTACGTTTTACAAAATTAGACGAAACCCAAATAATAATTTGATATTAACTATAAACAACATCAAATTATGGAAACATACTCCATATTGAGGGGAATTCCCCGCTCAGGACGACCTTGGCTTATTCTTCAAATATCGATCACGTGAATATCTCTAATAAACTGCGTCATAATCTTAAACTGAAGTAATTGCGTATAAAATACGATAATAATGATACTTGAAAATTTCCTTCAATATTGATCTTAAACCCTTACAGCTTAGAAATTGCTGGACATTATAAACGGCTTTTAAACTACTGGTAATTCAAAACTGTATTCTCCGATCGTCTTCGAAGCGTTGGTTTTCAACTTGACTCCTGAACTTAACACTATATTACTAACGACTTGGAAGCACGCTTAATAACTTGTGCTATTTGTAACGATATCTTTGCAGATCCAAGAACACTAGAGTGCAAGCAATATATCCGTGCAACACTAAGTTAAAATAGTGAAATTTAGTAAAATTTAGTGAAAAATAGTCGAAGCGTAAATGTACTAAATTTAGTGTGCACGTGCAATTTAGTTGAGAAGTGCACGTGCGTTTATGCACACGTCGTCCTCGGAGCTCAACTAGCCAGCTACACTTAGATAACCGTTACAAATGCTGCTGGAATTAGAACCAAAGTCTCATGCTAAAAAGGTACGTATCTTACAAACTTTTCCGTAGAAGCAATAAACTCATTTTGCGGTTTATTTTGAGCACATATCAAGCAAAGATATTAAAAGGGCACTTGGTTCTTGTCAAGTACGTCAAATAACGCTGAGCCGGCTTTGAGCGATAGAATTCCTTCGAAAACACGTTGTTTACAGATATTTTTCGAGTCTACATTAAAAGTGCGTCTTGTCTTGATTTTTAGCTTAGACTTTTACAATAAACTCGTTAAAAACACGTTCATTTGTGTACTGGGTCTTGATATTGGTCATTTTAACCTAACAATGTCTTCTGTCTTGATTTTGCTGCGACGCTGAGAATAAAGACTCTTAAACGCGTTTTCTTTCGTATTGTGTGGTCATTTTAGCGTTAGACGTGTCTTGTGTTGATTTTGCAGCAGCGCAAATAAATAAAGATTCTTAAACGCGTTTTCTTGTGTATTGTATTTTTTTTTAGATAAAATTGTGTCTTTTGTCGTTTTTGCGGCATCAGCACAAAGGAATAAAGGCTCTGAAATCATTTTACTGGCGTTTGTTTGTTATTTTTAGATTTGTTTTTAGATTTTCGTTTTGATTTTGTAGCAACCCTATTCTTGAAAAAAGCACGACCCAAGCACTCTACAGCACGCTCCTACGGTCCAGTAACCACACTAAATTAATCATAGTTTGCAATAATTTAGTTAAATTTAGCAAAATTTAGTAAAAAATAGCCTTTTGTAAGTATTGCACGGATATATTGCTTGCACTCTACCGTGTCTACATACTTTCTGCTTTAAATAAATGCATCAAAAGTTGGAACGAAGCTTTTCATCCTTTATTAAGAATTAAAAGAAATAAAAGTTCTTAAAAAATGAAGAGTTAGAAAGTTAGGCCAATGTCACAGGGTTTGCTTSTCCATAAGCAATCTAGACTTAATTCACAAGGATATTTTTTTCCGAGGAGTTATCATTTATTCGAAGTTTCCAAAGACGAGACTGAGATAGGCGAGATATGCATAYAGAGAGAATACAACCCTTCATAATAGCGATCGTTCGGGAATTGAAATACATGAGTATATATTCAGTATAGAACGACGCCAGGTAGTAAAACGAGAGAAGATGAAGGAAAAAAATGCAAAGTATGAAATACAGTTTTACCATTGGAGATCGAGGCTTTTGTTGGCTTCATCTACAAGCTTTTGTTGCTCTGAAATTAAAGTTAAACATAAAGTTCTCGTGAGCCATAATTGAAAACTTTTGGAAACATAATTCGAGTCCTCTTTCAAAAATTTAGGTAGTATCGTCGTGTAGCGGGTAACCAAGTACGTCATATGTTTCCGAACACACGAGTGGGACTTAGAAATATTTTGAGGTTTTTGGTTATCCTCNACCAGATCAAATCAAACCAAACCAAACCAAAGCAAAACAAAACAAAATAAGGAAACCAAGCTAAACCAAACAAAGGGGAAAAAATGTCCTGTTTGTATTTTCATTTGCGTTCAGAAGACCCCTAATTTGCGTTGTTGTATCTGCGATTGCATTTCTTGTGTAAAGTAGGATGATATGCACAGTTTGCATTGTAACATATTTCCATAGGACTGTTAGCAGATGTCCGTCATGAGACATAAACTCACCTTTCACTTTGTTATATTCATTAACCAGGTCAACATGTTCCTAAAAATACATGTGAAAAGGTCTACATGTGATAAATCTACAAGTCGTAACAAACAAGGAATATTGTAATACCGAGCACCATTAAATATTTGAAGGTGACTCATCATCTTTCCTCTTAAATATCAAGTTCAATATCGAGCCGAGAACTGGGTCTGAGTTTTGACCGCAAGGCATGCATGGATTGATTTCAAAATGGCGTCCTTTGTGTTACTCGAGTTTACAGGCGCCAAGAATTTGATGATCCAACTGTTTGACGTCAGCCAGAATCGTTTGATGGGGTTCGAAAAGTGGACAATCATGTAGATAAACTCCTAAACTCCATCGCAGTTAGTTTTGTTTTGTTAGTTTGTTTTGGCTCCGCACTTAGAATATCAGTCAGTCAGTAACATAATAGACCTTCCTTGAAAATGCATGGCCGCCAAAGATATTTTGCGGCAAACGAGAAAATGGAAATTTGTTCCTGTTACTGATTGGCGGAACGCCTATTTTAGAGAAATGCATATTAAAATGAACTTTCTAGCATCACTGTAAGTATAAGAAATTGTAAAGATCATTGCTTTGTCTGTATGACATCCTGTTTTACCTCCATAAAGCGCTCCCTTTCTCTTTCAAGTCTTCTTTCAATTTCCTCCTCGAAAGCTTCTTTCAACTGCTGTAAAATYAAAGAAAAACCTCAGATAGAACTAAAAATATCCAATCTTGTTGATTAGAAAAATATATTATTAKTCAGAGTGAACGCRCTTAATCCGTGAAATAGTACAGAATAGGTGTTTCACGGATTAAGTGCATCCMCTTTTTGCAATGACAATTTAAAAATACAACAAAACTCCGCAAAGAACCTAAAATTTAAGAACTTGTCAGGCTAAAATTGTCATTTTAAGCACCCWTCAAATAAGAACCATTTCAGTCTGAAAYTTCAGAGTGTTCTTAATTTCCAAATTAAAGTCAATCTGTTTTATTTTCTTATAAYATGAAAATGTRTGAATTATTTGCTATMACATCAAATATAAGTAGTTTTCTTATTAATAAAAATCAAGAACCCCATTTAAGAACCTAAAGAACCTTATTTCAAGTTAAGCACCATTTATACAAGAACCTG